AAATTTCCTTGTACGAATACTTTTTGCTCTCACTGTGTATATATATATATATACTACAAATATATATATATATATATATATATATATATATATGTATTGTGGAACATTTCAAAAAAATATCAGCAAATATCGACTAATAGGCAGGATTGATAAAAATCTTTAAACCGTTTAAAACATGTTTAATTGATGTTTAAACAGTATTATAAAAAAACATGTTTAAGCATGTATGAAGCATTAAAAACATGTTTGAAAAAAACTATATTTTGTTCTTAAAAAAAAAAACATCTCTTATCACATAACCCTGTTAATAGGCGAAAAGCGTGCGAGAGGCATTAGTGTGGAGTAACGTCGCGAGGCCGAGTACCGGTTGTAACGGTACGTTACTGTATTGTGCATTATCTATAAATTGCGTTTCTCACTGTGTGTACGTGCATAGACAGCGCGTTTTTCTTCAGCCTTGAGAACACCGCGAGCCCGTTATGCACACGCGTGCTTATCTGCGTTTCAATCGCTATTACTGCCGGTATGAAAGTGCGAGTCCATAGTGAAAAGTATGACACGGTAATGACATAAGATTCTCGATTGGGCGGGGAGGTCGGGACTCAGGAAATTAACGCGCCGCAATTAATTTTAGTTTTCTACGAAACTCAGGAATGCATTGTTTCGAAACCTTAACGGCACATCAAACAATTCCGTCTCTCTCAATATCGCGATTAAGAGGATGCAAGCGTAATTCGCCTTGAGATCTCTGAGATATTGCGGTGTTACTGGTATTTTCTCCCTCTCTTCTAGAGATTTCTTCTTAAAATGTAAATGAGAAAACTCGTTGTTGCTTCTAATTTTCTAATTTTCATTTCAAGTATTTTAACAATTAAGTAGCACTCGAATAACTTTCTGATACAGTCGTTAGATGTACTTTAATGTTCTCTTCAATATATATATGTTACAGACGAAAAAATTCGTAAATTGTTAATGAGGAATTTATTTTAACGAAAAATAATTCGGGAAATAAAACGGAAAATGAAAGTGTAATTAAAAAAATATGAAAGAAATATTACACGCAATTAATATTTTTATACAAAAGTATATAGTAATATTTGGAACTTTGTTTAATTATTTTAATACACAGAACATTTTTGAAAAGTACATTTCATATTTTTACGAGATATAAATTCTATAACTTATATAAATTAAAGTTAAAGATTACATTTTGCTCTATTACATTTTCTTGATTTTGTAAAAAAATTTGTATTTTTTTCTACAGCTCGACTCGCGTTGTTTCCTGTTTAGACTTTTAATATCGCAGATTGAAAAAGGGGATACTTGCATCAGTTTGTTAGACATAAGTCTCTCGCCACCGAGAGAGCGAGCCGCGCGTAAACGTTGCGGGCGCGGAGAAAGTTGGCTTAAATAATAACGTATTCGTGGGTTTTTTTTAAACAAATGCACCGTTGGCATTACGTCAGGGGTGCAGTCGCTCGAGGTGCGCGCACGTAATGCAGCCGTGGAAGCGTGGGAGCCGCGGGCCGCCGAGTATAAGTGCGAGAGCGGCTTCCTCTCACGTCCTCGCAGCCACGCTTTATCTCGCCGTTTATAAATAAGGCGACCTCTCTCTTTCTCTCGGTGGAGAAGAAGGAGGAGGAGGTACGCGTTGCTCAGTTCCGGCTTCCAGTCGCCCGAGTCTCTATTAATACTCGATCCCCTTAGTCTCTCCGTTCTCTCTCTCTCTCTCTCTCTCTCTCTCTCTCTCTCTCTCTCTCTTCTTTTCCTCTTCTCACTCTACAGCCTCTCTTTCACCTCGTTCGTCGATCCGTTACTCAATCCTTCTGTCTTCCCGCCACTTCGCGCGCACGCTTCTTCCATTAGCAATTCCCAAGCAAATCGTACACTCCACGAGTCCGTTCTGGATGAGATTCTGTGTTAGGATTTAGTTGCTAAACGAAGGCATCTGGATATTGAAGGATGAGAAATTGTAATGGCTTCTCATTGTTCTCTACAACTCTGTTATCGCGAATCATAGACTATATAGAAAATCCTTTTTTAGCTCTCTCAAAGTTGAAAAATTTACACGATCTTTTTTACGAATTTTATTGTATTGATAAAACAATGTAAAATTATTGTGTCGTAATATTTTGGATTAAAAATTTAAATAAATTTTTATTTTCAAGCTGCATTTTTGCAAGACAAAAACGCTATTAGATTGTCTAATTTTAATTGACGATTTATCTGTTTTCTGTATTTACCTATGATGATATGATTTTATACCCTCTTATTTATTTTTATTAATATTTCATAATATTAAGTTGATAATTATGAAATAAAAACAAGAGAGAACATTTGATTTTTCGTCCTTCCTGGATACCTCCAGAAATTTTCGTTTGCGGTATACCGGTTTAGGTGAGCGCATAATTGGGTTTACGGTCCAATGCACGCACGCACGCGCGCACGCACGCACGCACGCACGCACGTATGTACATACGTACGTGGTCCCGCCGTATAGATAACACTGTTGTTCGACACCATTGTAACCAACAGGCATTTGCGTGAGGCAGGAATGTCCACGGTCACGTCTAATCACGGTTAATCGGTATTCTAATCACGCAGCCACAACCAAATCGAGATAATCGATCGCGGTCAACGCTGCGATCCCGCGTTCGTGTACTCGAAGCAAACGCTTGAACAAAGCGTCGTAACGTAATTAAGTGATTACGATTAGCTACGGCTGTCGAATAATTTTCTCCTCCTGTGATTCACGATATAAACAGTTGATAGCCATACCGTATGCTCGACAACCGGAAATGATTGTAAAAGAATTATAATTGATTATCTTTCATTTTTTAAATACACTGAGAGAAAAGTGTTTGGTGTTCGTGACTATAAATTGCATGGTAAAATATGATTAATGTAATGTAATATATGTTACTTGTTAGTAATAATAATCATATATATATTCTCTCGAACATAAAAAAATTGTATTATAAGTTATGATCATTTCAAATATTAATATAGCAAAATAAATGTAAATAATAAATAAAATAAACATTTTTTATTATTTATTTCATTTAGTAAATTATAGTGAACAAAATTATTTTCTTAAATTCTCTTACTATTTATGTGGTAATAATAATTAAAAAATATGTTAAGAAAAAACTGAAGATTTTCAAGTAGTGTGTATGTGATTATTATTAACAGTACAATTGACTGTACTTCGACAAAACATTTCCCGTAGTCTTATGAACATTAAATAGCATCCGGTTCTCATATTGTTCCATCATGACACAATTCTGAGAAATTTCCATTTAAAGTTGCAAATATTTTTACATATTTTGTCATATTGTAATTACGCTGCCTGGGGAAATTTTATTGCAATCAAAATTAAATATGTTGTTAAAACTTTCAATCCATAAAAGAAATTTCTTTGTGCCAATTATGATTAACGAGATATTCATGGTTAAGTATGGAATTTATTGGACAAAAATGAATTTATCACTCATGATTTACCAAATTGCTTTCAATTATGTTTAATTAATCTTAAAGGTTTTTTAGGCCGTTGTATATAAAATTAACGAATTTAAAATTATGAAAGATATCTATACATTTTGCAACAATTTGATCAGTTTTTTTTCAAGTGATATCCGTCATATTGAATCTACCATTTTAAATTTCACGTTTAACGTCATTTTAATGTCACGTTTAACATTTGATTTAGATACAACAGCCTAAAAACCTTTTAAGTTTAAATAAATACAGTTCTAATTAAATCATTAATGACTTGGTTTACAACTTTTCTGTAACAGACTCCATATTTGACTAAGACTATATTATTAAGCGTTGCCGACATTAAAAAGTCCTTTTAAAAGCTGTATTAACGACATAATTACTTAATTTTGATTACAATGACACTTTTCCAGTATGTTATACAATATCGCAGTGTTATAATATGACAAAATACATAAAATACAAAAAATAGCCCTTTTTTGCAAGTAGACTTGCTTTCTCAAAAATTATGACGTGATGACGCAATTTGGAAAACGCACATATTCATATATTCGGCATTCAAAAAAATTATAAAAAAATGTTTAGTGTTATTCTGGTGTTCGAGGAAAAGTAATTTTTTATTGAACAGTGTTATATTTGCATGATTAAAATAATTAAAATATATAGTTGTCTAAAAAAAATGACTATAAATCATAGTTAAATTATGATTGTAATCATTTTTCAACGTATAAAAATGTAAATGCCTTTCGACAGTTTTGTTATTCGCATGATTTGCATCATTGCTTTTCTTTAACCAGCCTTTTACCATCTTTAATCACAAATATACTTTATTTTTATTGTTTTTAATTAAACATTTTTCAATATTGAGTAAGGAATCAACCAATGAGATTAAATAATTAGTTTTTTATTTTTA